GTAATTTGAAGCAAAAAAGACAGAAAATTATGGATTTAAATCAGTTATCATATATAAATGCTTTAGTTGCCTGCAGATTTTTTTCTTGATTCTTCTAGGACAAATACTATTTAATATATATTTTATGTTGATAAGCTTTAATGTGGTTGTAGATTTCTTATAGAGTACTGCAAATTTGCTGTTTTTTAAATCAAAATAAACCTCCAAAAACTAGTTTTATTTATCAAAAGGTGAAGAGAATTTCAATAATCAACAGTTGTTAAAATAGAGTATTTTTAGATAAATAGAATAATAATTCAAAAAGCTTTTATTAATGACTAGTAATAAAAAATATTTGTTTAACCATAAATTCAAGTGTCATGATAAAGTACAAAACACGCTATTTGAAAGGCGCGTGGTTTCCATAGCAACAATGCGAAAATTATTTTTGGCTTGCTTTTTTCTACTATACCCTTTGTTCTGAAAATTTATATATGAGTTTTAACTAAATCTGTTTCTATGCCACTTTCCACATTTTTTAACTAAATGCTCGATGCTTGCTGATTTTGACTCTTAAATATGTCGCCTCATGTGTCCGGCTTCACAAATACTGTATGTGCCCGACTTCACAAGTTTTTGTTGTGTATGGACTTTAATGATCAATGTGTGTTTGTAAAGATGTAGACTTGATTGTCTGGCTTCTGCTTTATACAGAAAAAATAGTGCTCCAAAAAAAATTTATGCAAAACCAATTAAAAAACTAGCAGTTCTCAAAAAATCATGGAAAATGAACAAAGTCATTCTCATTAGGCAAAAAGAAGATATTTTTTCTGCCTAAAAACTAAGAAATCTAATAAAAATATGTACATAAAAGAAAGTCTTCCTATACATAGCAAATTTAATTACAAAAACCTTTCACGCTGTATAACAACAATGGTATTAATCCCTTGCAATTTCTCAAACGCATATACAAATTTGGATTTTATTCTCTGAATGGGAATAAAACTAGCAGGGCCTTCAATATCATACATATTGGCCTTCCAAACTTCAACTGGTTTACCAAAATAATGTCTCAAAGTTTCATTCACTTTGCAAAACCATTTAACCCTTGCAAGGCAATGGACATGTGATTTACCTTCAATGAGAATATTATGCAAAATTATTTTCTCAACTTGTCCAGGCCTAGGTTTAAGATCCATGTTCTCAAATGAAGATATCTGTCCATTCTCGCCATACCAGTGAGCGATTATCATAGAGGATCGATTGCTTCTACCTCGTTTGATTCCAATAATATTTCCAAATACATTGATACTTTCTGTGGAACGAAAAGTATTACACACATCAATGTTTTCAATTAATACATTTACATTTGGATATAAAACTTTGTAAAAATGTTTCAAATATGAAAAATCTATTTCATTCAAAAAACAATTTTTCAAAGATGAATGAGAAAAAGCAGAATTTATCACATCTAATGTCCAATCACACATGCTCACTTCAACATTTCTAGAGGACATTTTTGACAAATTGACATTTTGACACATATTCATCTCAGCAAGTGTGCCTCTATCTTTACTATCAATCATAGAAACAATTCTTTCAAATTCTGGCCCAAAATCTTGGCCAGTACTTTCTTTACAGTCAATATCAACAACATGCACAGTTTTCAAAAATTTTCGCATGAGTTGCAGTTCAACAAATCTGTTATTTGTAGGAAATGCACCCAAAATTCCATTTTCTCTCTCAAAACTAAATAACCAAAATGCATACACAGGACCAAAATCATACAGGCATTTGTCCAAATGAGCATGTAAATGTATATTTGGTGTAATGACCTCATCACTAAATGCTCTTTCAACAGATTCACAAAAAGAAATCAACAATAAATGTGCAACTTTTACATGGTTTTTTGTCAATGATCTTGAACACAAAAATTTACATGCAAGAACAAATTTTCTCCAGTAATCAAAATGATCTTCAGGAAGAAGATCTTTGAGTGCATACACTGAAAACATTATTGTCCAGTTTTTCCACTGGTCAGCATTGAATGAACCATAGCTAGATGCAAATTTTTGGGGTAACTTTCCTATATCTGATGGACAATACACACCCGAAATCTTATCTTGTACTTTTTCAAAATGATCGGGCAAAAGTATTTTTTTATCTTTCCATAGGGTCATCATACGTTTTGCTGTTCCTAAAAACAAATTATGCATTGGGTCAATGATTGTCATACGAATAGGATCAAAGTATTCTAGTTCTAAGAGTACAGAATATCTAACTCCATATTTTTTTTCTAGCTCCTCTCTTTTTGTTTTGGTTTTTGACTTCATAATTTCCTTCACCATCTTCATATGAGAATCTTTATCCCGTTCAACCCATTCCTTCACATTAAACCCCCCATAATTTTTCTGACCAATTAGTCCTTCAAATCGCTTCATGCATTTGTTACATCCCATAGTAGCAGAATGACCTAAAAAGCCACAAAGCTTTCTGCTTGCTGGGACATCACAACCCACACACAGAAGTGCCAACCTAAACCTAACAGGATCTGAAGGAGACGTATAACTATCTAAATAGAAACCCTCCCATGCTTCCTGCAATTCTTCTACAAGAGGTTGTAAAAATGTATTTGTTGGGGGTTCAGTTTTACAGTCAGGTATTAGTCCTACCAAAATAATGTTGTTTCTTTTGAATCTTTCTTCTCGTGGCAAATTTAAAATTGACAAATATATGGCACCTACTGAGTAATTTGAATATTTAAAAGGTTGAAACCAATCAACATTTAACATAAGTCCAAAATTATTAGGTTCTGTAAAAAAATTATACTTCAAACCATTGAATTCTTTCCAAACATTTCCATCATAAACATCACTTAACACATTTTCAGAAAAAATTTGATGACGCCACTTTTCACACAAGTTTTCAAAACCTCTCTTTTTCACAAGCCTATGAATACTGTCTTTAACACTTTTATAACAGTATGTTTTTTTAGCAACAAAAGCCATCTTTCCATTTACTGTGACAGATTTCAGAAGAATTTCTCCACAGGGTTTTCTGAAATTGGCTAATTTATGATTTGGCTGGACAACATTGCTACACTTTTTTGACACATTTTCACCCTCAATAATTTGTAAACACTGAGAAAAATCATACGAAGAAAAACATTTTGGACATACAACATATTTCTTGAAATTGTCTTTCTCAAATCGTACTGAACTATTTGCCTGATACAGTGTTGATGGAAAGCTTTTGTAAAGAGCAGCAATAAATGATGAAGAAAATGATCCAAGATAAAAAATTGATTTGATCAGCACGATAATGAATGATAACGCCATATCTGAAATGAAAAAAACTGCCTGCCACCTAAACAATAATTTTAAAATAATTTGTATATATTCATGGTTTTTATCTGTTTCTGTTGGCATCTCAGATTCCCCTTCACTGTCCTGCATAAACAGTTCAACCAGTTCTTCGTCATCTATGTCCGTGCCTTCTTCAGAGTCTGTAGGAACCTCATCCAGAACATTGTCCAATTCAAATGTATCATCAGCCTCCAGTACCTTTTCAGTCGAAGTAGATGGCATTGTTGAAGTAGATGGCATTTCTTCAGCCATTGGTTCATGAACTTGTTCATAATCTCTGGCTTCCTCCACATTTGTAGAATTACTATCTTTACACAAATGTCTTTTAAAATATCTGTTCGAAAATTCCTCCTTGCATTTTGTGCAATATTTTCTTTTTCTCTTGTATTGATCCATGATAGGACTGCAAACAAAGGATAAGGTTCTTTCATTAATTTGATTAAATACTTAATATTCATAAATAAATGTAAAAATTATTAAATATTATAAAGACAATACCATGCTGTAGCATTTACATGTCATGATGTGATAAATATTTGTTTAATTCTGAATATTTTTTAAACATTATTTCTGATTTAATTCTTGTCCAACAAAAGTTGTTTCAACTTGTTTGTAAAACACTTATGCACCCCCCACAAAAAAATTGGAAATTTAAACTAAGGCGTAACAAAAAAATATGTTTGTTTACGGTTACTCGACGGACCCTAATTTTAATCGCCGACCCAAACTTTTTTTTCGTCGTAAAAATCCGGAAGTTATTGTCCAGTCATTTTAACTTTTACATTCATCTTTGAAATCGAAATTGAAAGTACAAAAACAAAATCAGTGAGTTCAATTTCTATACCAACGAGTTCGTTGCAATTTGCTTACCATTGCGTGGCAGTTGCAGGTAAGGGCGAAATGATTACACGTGTAAACGGCAACGTTTCGATTATATGATCTAAACGTTTACAGTTTGAGTAAACGTTTACACGAAGGTCATTATCTATGTCTATCAGAAATAAAGTTCAATACAAACAAATTGTTTTATTTCATAATTTACAAAAGAAACACCGTCTTTGACCATTTGATAAGCAACAATCTAAACCGGAAACATATTGAATAAAAATATCTAAAACCCGATACGGGCTAAAATAATTAATTCCGATTTCCAAGTTGCCAATACTAGCGATGTTTTACGACACTTGAAATATAAAACTTGATATATTTTTATTAAATAAATATAATACATTTTTCACAAGTCTTTGAAAAGTTTCGATACAGTCAGCAGGTCTTGTTTTACTTTTTTCGAGATTAAAGGATCCATCTTTACAATTCTTTTTTCTACGTCCAGTAGCCAAACAAACCAAGCATTTGGGTGACGAGGTAGAATGAGTGTAATGCGCCTCAAATTCTTACGTTTAAGTCAAAATGACCAACAATGAAACTGTTATTACAACTCATACTTATATTAAAGTGAGATAATTGATTATTACATTCGAGTTTCATGAGTAAGTAGCCATAAAAATCCAACATAGAATATCTCCCGTTTAAACGGTACCGTTTCGTTTACTGCTATCCGTTTAAACGTTTACAAAATTCAGTAAACGTTTCACCCTTAGTTGCAGGGGTGTGCAACTAACATCGCCTGATGCCCTGTGCTACCGTTTTTGGGGTAGTAAAAATTTTAAAAAATTATATTACATGAGAAATACAAATGGTATTTTCACTCATTGTTTTGCTATTTAATTTCCAACTAATGAAAATTTTCCAGGCAACATGCTCCAACTGTTCTTAAATTACTTTAACCTTATCCATTTTGAAGTACTACCTGACTTATTTTCTTCAAAAAACGATCGTTTTTTCATAACCCGAATTTCCTCCATTCCTCTGTTAATGGTAAATACATGCAGATATCTCTTTCCATTATTAACGGTTCCCCAATCAACTAATATCTAAGTGTTATGTGGTTAAACTTTAATATATATATATCAATTGTATTTAATGGTTTGAAATAGTGCTGTGCGATATTACCAGTTAACCGGTGTACCCCGATTTTTTTCTTCACAATACGTATCGCGGTATTTTTTTGTGAATACCGGTTCGGGTTCGATATGCTATAAATTGTTATAAAAAGAGTTATTTGCCCTTTTCAAGGTAATTATGGCGGCAAGCGTCTGAAGCGACGTGAAGTGTCAGTGTGATCAGAAATGAGAGACATGTCTCCTTTCAGAAACGAAAAGACGACAACTGTTACATGAAAGCCCTTATTGTTAAAGCCGAATCAGAATATCATAACTTCATTCCTCAAGTTGTGCCACAAAAAACTTCGCTTGCCACATGCGCCAACACAACGCGACCAGGCAGTTGCAACATCAACTCGAAATACATGTAATTTGAGTTTCTGTTTTCATTTGACATTGACGAAAAGCAAAATTTATTAAAAAATTTATATCGTGATATATTGCAATACAAAATATAATATTGCAATATATCGCGATACGATTTTTCAGTCGCGATACCCAGCACTAGTTTGAAATGAAAATAAAATGATTTTGCTTCATTTTAGATAAGCTACACTTGTCTAGTACAATATGTTCAGAAAGATAATATAATTTCTTAAAATTTTTAAACTTCAACTATAAATTTTAATGGATGACTTAGGACCCGGACTTTCTCAACAATGAACTTTTTACAATATTTTACTATATTTGGACTGCTCATTTTTAACTTCGGGCAAGTAACTTTATTGCTGTTACAAGCTTGTGGGCTAGTACTTGTTTTTTTTTTAATTGCACACCCCTGAGTTGTAAGGCAGTTGGC